TGGACGCAAAACAATATGAAAAGAATAGGCAGAAAAAATGTAACAGTGATACAATTTAAGGGCCATTATTGTAACCCCTCTACGTTTTTGCACTTTGGACCAACGTAGCCAGGGTACGTTTTTATATGAGACTGGGTTGTATAAACACGAGACCTATTTAATATTTTTGCTGATTTCCAACAGTGTTCAAACCAGAGAAATCTATAATTTTATTCAGGTAAAGGTGGATTTCACTAGTTGACTGTCAATGGCATCCTTTTGTCAGTGTTGTGGGTGGCTGTCAGAAGTTGTCATAATTTCACACCTTTAAGATACACTTTTTAGATGTAAATAGATGAAGGATTTTAGTCATCGGTCGGAGACTTTTGTGGATAATTTGGCTTCCAGTAAAAACCCTCATGAACAATTAACAATGCGGGAATCCTAACTGACTGCAATGACAACAATGAAGATGAAGACAACAACTCAACTGATCCAACGCTACTTCACAACATCAGTCTTTTTTTGTTGTTATTTCTCTGATGTGAGAGACGCCCCTAGAGCCACAAACTACATATTGTACTTTTAACAATGTACAAAAGCTGCCAGGAACTTAAAATACAAGTCAAATGACAGGGTTGCTTAAACAAATGTACAAATAATCAGTGATAATCACTAATATTACTACAACTCAAGGTTGAAAAGATATTCACTGTTTATACACATAAATACAGCAGAAAATGTAATAAAACAAATTCAAAATTGTTTTTCACATCACAGATTGTATTGTATTTTATTCTGTTCTATTCTATTCAAGGCCACTTTATTTCATCTTCTCACCTGTTAGTTATGGGTATCAATTACAGCTTGACCATTGAGGGGAGCTGTTGGCTCTTGGGACACCAGGTGCAGTTTGTATATTTACACACAGCACTGCATTACATTTTAGCAAGTTATTACTCCTTTGCATTACAGTTTTTTTAAATTATATTTGTTATTTCATTGCATTTGAGGTTTTTAGTGTTTTTCAAATATTTTATGAACTGAATTTCATCTGTTAAGGTTTTTTTTAATGTAGACAATAAGTGACTTACTTCCTATTTTTCTATTAAAATGGTCATTGGTACTGTACTTACTAGTCTTCTAAAAGGGAGGACTGGTGGTACTGAAGTAGACAAAAGCATCTCTGTATGTCACACAGCTAAAAAGAATGAATTAAATACTTCATTAGCAGAAAACAAACTATGATCACTGCACAAAATCACAGAGATACGCTGTTATTACACGATAGGGGCATTTAAGAAAATCTGCAGTATTCAGTGCAGAGAAGAACATCTGGATACACAACAGCATTGCATACTTGTATAGACTATTAACCTGAAAATCCCAGATGTGTCTCTTTGGGCTTGGTTGCAGACTCTATAAGTAGAGAGCTGGTGCCTGCAGTATGTCAGGATACACAAGCAGATATATGTAAGAAGTGGGTGACAAGCCACTTCACCCCTCCGCCTTGTATTAACCTCATAGTTCCTCAAACTTACCAGTTATCTTTAAAGCCGTAATGAAAGGTGAGAGACCTCATCTGAAAACCTAACACACTATACAACTTTATACAACATTTAACTCTTCTTCCTCTTCTTTTTATTGTTATTGTGCTGTGTTTCACCTCTGATGTGTGATGTTATTACTTACTGAAGATCTTTACTAACACTTTCAGTACACAACAATTTATTTTCCTTTACAAACAATTATTGACCATAACATACACAGTTTCATCTATTTGTAAAAGAAATAATTTCTTGTCATGTAAATAATCTTGATATATATATACACACAATTAGAAGAGAACTTAAGCACGTCCATAGAGATTCAAACATAGTAGGAAGAAGGCCAGGGCCTACTGTGACATTTCATAGCAGGGCATATTGTTGTTACATGTTTGGACTTTAACATTGAAAATGTGTAATAAGACATTTCCAAATAAAATATGCATTCATATGTGTGTGTGCGCCCACATTTAAAAAATGCATAGCGTACTAGCTGTTTCAGTGACCCAGGGTCTAAGATGAATGCCATGTAACTGCAACATCACCTCTCTCTTTCCCCTTTTGCCTTTTGACTGTATCACTTATAATCAATTATTAAAGGAATAGTTGGACACACTTTGGGAAGTACAGTTATTCACTTTCATGTCAGGAGTTAAATGAGAAGATGGTGTACTGGAACCTCACAGTGACAGCAAGAGTGCGGGAACTCAATGCTCCCAGACAAGAAGCAGTCCAACAGTTAAACCACCAACCCTGGTCTTTACATTTAGGTTTACATTTGGAGCCTGGCTGACTTCCAGTCTTAATGCTAAGCTAAGATAAAACCCCTGCTGGCAATGGCTGCATATTTACTGTACCGACCGGCATCTTCTCATCTTGGTAAAGCCAGTTTATGTACTTCCCCAAAATATTATTTGATTAACATTTAACATCAAATAGATTTGAAAACTGGTGTCTAATGTCCTGATTTGTAAAATGTTGATCTAATTATTAGCTGTATTATATTCTAATACAATAATATGATCTTATTGAGTTTACACAAGCATTGCTGTTTTAAAGCTGCTCTGCATGCATTAACAGATTAGCACCTTGTATACATCAAACTTCAGATGAGGTATTCTAAAGGATATGACCAATTCATTTCAATGAAAGTATTTATGTTTTTCTCTTGCTGAGGCCAGCTGCTTTCAGTGGCCAATTTATTAGGTACACCCACCTAAAACTAAAGCAGTCTAATACAGCAGTCCTGCAATAAAACATACCTCCATGTTGAAACTGTTTTTGAGAGGTGTTGATTCAGCTTTATGTTATTTTTATATACTTTATTGTGTCAATACATAACAATGATACATTTCCTGTTTTTTAAACATCTTGACACAATTATTAACATTTTTGCTTTTTCCTTTATACAGCACATACATAAACAATAAGGTAAGTACCAATACAGTTGCAGCTAAACAAAGTTTGTATATCTATAACTATCCGTATATACATACATATTTATACATTCATGTACTAACATAAACATAATTAAAAGGAATAAAAAAAACAATAAATGTTCAAAATAATGTTAATTTTGGATGATGTAGTTTGTGCTGTTGAACTGAATTGCATTGTACAATCTCTACCCTCATTGACAAAGGCGCGGATTCATGTTTTTGCCCATGGGTGTCCAAATTAAGTGAATACCAGAGAGGTGATGATCGACACAAAATCACTTTTACTGCGCTTGCTTTTGTAATTACTGCGATGTAGGATACTGTTGTCTGTCGGATGTAGACACAAACCGCAGACAGGCTACACCAAAACATAACATTGTACAACCAATAGCAATACATAACTAAGCAAAAAATACCTACACATATGGGTGGTCAGCCTTTATGGTGGGTGCACCCACGTGATCGGTGCCTGTGCTCACTGATAAATTAGACTGAATTTATTAGACTGTTCTAGTTTTAACTCTTTGTACTAAATAAACTGGCAATTGAAGTGTGTTTGACCTAATGATTTGATGTGTTTATATGTGTGTGAGTATTCTTTATAGCTTTACTGCTGTTGTTATTTTCTTTTCTGCATTCTCTTTACCATCACATGACTCGCAGTAAACAACTTTGGTCACCACGGCAAAATTGCTGCATTAAAAAGCAGCTCGCCACCACCTACCTCATAGTGGGCAGGTTTTACAGAGCAGATTTTACATTTCTCAGGGCAAATCTGAGGCAGCCAAAAGGGACAAACAGAGGAGACGTATAACCTTTTTTAAATCAGAGTACCCATTCACAAATCTCTGTACACATTTGCAAATTATCCAGACATTCAGACATTTGTTTTCAGGGATTGTGTCTCTTGTTTCTTTAATGCTGCATTAGCTAGTATCATCAAAAGATTGATCTCACTCTACAGTAATATGGTAATATTTGTATTCACAAAAAATGCTATTTACCAGATCAGTAAGGTTGGTAAAGCATCAGCAGAAACGACACCTCCACTGCCAACACTTGACATTTCAGTATCCTTCCTGCCTACACATATGATTTTCTCTCCGGATGACTCTTCCCCAGCACCTCGTCACTGAACTGGTAGGTCAGCTTCTTCTTTATCTTTTTCACCTCTCCAGTTTTGCCATAGTTGCGCAATGCACGAGCCATCTTCTGGTAGGTCATTTTTTTACGGTTTCCCTTCTGGATTCCCCAGCGATGTGCAAGAGCCTCCTTGTGTTTGGAAGAAAACTGAAATGTCCCTTTGTCTCTGTCCACCCACCAGATACTGTCCTTCATATCGCCATTTCTTAAAAGGTCCAACAGGAACTGGTACAAGCGGATCTTCTTTTTATTGCCTTTTGGAAACATCAGAGAGTTGCATCATTACTAATTTTTAACTAACATGTAATTGTAATTATATAATACTCTAACCAGTTTATTAGTCTTGGATCACTATAAATGGTCTAATCTAGATGTTAGATTAGACATCAGATTAGTAACCAAAAAAAAGAAGCATGAAGAAACTTTTCAAGACAGCACAACAAAGCTGTATAAGAATCCTCTGTGAGTCATCTTTTAAGTGTTTTCCACATTGTCATGGTGCTACGTGATAAACGTAGATGGTGAAATATTAACTGTTAAACTGTTGAAATAGTAATATCAATTGGTTTAGTGATATATACGTGTTTTCACACATTTCAGACATGCTTGTCTGCTGGTCCTGTCAGATTCCAAGCTGCACAAAAGAGGAAGTAGAGCAAGCGCATGTATTTCGCTGCACACAGGGCAGGGTGTGCATTGTCTGTGGTGCACAGGCCTTACCACTGATGCAATGTGTGTGTTCTGTGCCTTACTAAACATCCAACATGTAGCTGCTGAGTTAATGAGTTAATACTAAAGAGCATTAACCATTAGCAATTAGCGCTTATATCCACCATCTCCATCCCACAATGTCTGACTAAAGAGTTCACCCTTTGTGTAGAGGGTCTTTAGTAAGCCAGCAAACTACAGTTACCTACAAAGCCACTGACACATGATTGACATGCTGACTTATGCAGCTGACCTTGGTTAAAGTAGACGGAGAGGACCAAAAGATCACACAACTGATTTTCATCAGGAGACACAAATGGTAGCCAACTGGGGGATAGTCTGTGATTCTCCTCATACCACTGGCTTATTCATCCAATCCAATGTAAACGTCCAGCCTTTGAGACCAAGGACATTATAGTTTACCACAAACAATCACTCTTTTAGTCAGCTCACTTCCCATTAAGATGCATGACCAGCAATATAAAACCTCGTTGTGCAACTAGTAACTCACCCTATAAGTGCATCTTAAATTGTCAGCAGAACAAAAAGCTGACATGACTCCATCTACCCGATCCCAATGTGAGGAAAACACCGGCCCATATTTCTCATTCTTAGTAATTGAAACTTACACATTACACCACTTAGCAGATAATTTCACAGCAACTGCACACATCTTGACGTTCAAGAATCTAAAGCAAGTCCAGTGACTTAGCATTTCTAGATATATCATGACCTGGATTACTAAGAGTCTTTACATTATCAGCATAGTTGGTGTGTCTTAAAGTATCCGCGTTAACTGCTCAGCTAAGAACTACAGTGCTCACTGCACATATAGTACAGTATAAAAGGGCTTGTAAATATGGTTCCTTACCCAGATCTCCTGGTGTAACATAAGGGACTCGATCTCTCAGAATTTCCTCATCAGACACCTCCAGCGGGGGACTTCGCCCTCCGTGTTCCTCATCATCAGAGCTGCGTTGGGACATGTGTGTTGGGTACACAGTGCGGGAGAAGAACGCTACCTACCACACAGGAGTCAAAGTGAATTACAATTTGCAATTGCAATTGATTTGGCTTGGAGCTTGCTGACGTTGCTCCATGGTTTTAACAAAAAATGCACTTTTCCACATGAGAATATATTTGTTTTGTGAAGTCAATATGCTTTTATTCTTTTTGGGGGGACATTTTGGGATATGATTTATAATATACAGCAAACAGTGTTTGGCTGTAACACATGCACTTGTCATGATGGATGGACATGTATTTCTTGCAGGACTGAATGGATAAAGACAGTTGTTGTCTTCAAAAACTTCCCTTGAGCTTCAGAGGCAATGATACTGCCTCTGTATGGCATATATAAACAAACAAGACCATCAGCAAGAAGATTGGTTATTTCTATAGAGTCATTCCTAATGCCTGCCACTAGGTGGGATTACTGTAGAAACCTTATATATACTGTGTAATGAGAGAAACATGGTGATTCAACATGGCCACCTAAATGTAAAAGGCTAATTCTAAGGTAACAAAATAAATATTCTTATTTTCAGGTGATTATTCATTAGTGAAACCATAGTTACACATATTATATTCCATCTCTGCCAATTGATCCTTGGTGAATCCATTGAATACTACTTACAACAGTGATGCTATTTATATGTCATCCACCACCTTGCATTTTCAAACAAATATCTTTTTAGGCATTTTTAAAACTACATGGTTAAACCATAGTAAGAGAGATAATGTTGCTTACTTATACTGTACCTAACATCAGACACATATTCTGACGTGTAGCTTTGCAGTGAAATCTTCTCACTGCAAGTGAAAGAGTAAGACAACATCTCTCTCTGCATGAGCTGTGATGTGTGGATGCTGTTTAAGCTGTATGCCTGGGTGGGCAACACTTGTCAACGTATTCATAGCATCCTTTACAAAAAACAGTCTCTAGTGGAAACCTACATGTGAATTCTGTGTATGAACAGTGGTTTTTCACATTGTATTCTGGTACCTCGTTTGAATTGATGCATTAACACCTTTTTTCACATACAAACACATTCTCCCATTGTAAAAAAATGGCAGTTCTTTTTTTTAAAAGGGAAATTTCACTTGCTCACAAGTGAAAGCCTTCATGCGACCTAAAAGCATGCGTGCCTTGTGGCTTCTTTGTAAAGGATGCAACAGCAAAAACACAAGCTGTGTAGCTGAAATGAAACATTTCTTGTGTCTTTATGCTAGTGTATATATCAGTGTCCCATGCTTTGAGAAAGGATAACTTTATATTGAAAATGGATATGAGCAGTGCTAGATGCACATAAGAAAATGACAAATTCAATTTTGTTTGAAATTATTATTTATAAGTCATTAAAAATCATCTATTCCTAGAAACAGCAACAGGTTTATTTTGGTACAAACACAAAGGTTCCCCTATATTGCCAATGTTTAAAAATAGTTATTCCAAATATGTTTTTAATTTTTAATTTTTTTTTTACCATATGGAATATACTTTATGTGTTATATTTGACCACTTCCAGCACTTCACTCCACCACACACAGTTAAATATTTAAATCCATCACACTTTTGGCCTCACAATTACCTCAAATAGAGGAAGTCTATGGACATTCAGCCTGTGATCTAGACTACAGTTTCACATAATAAATAATAGAACAATCAATAAAATATGTATATAAGTTTACATTTTCTTTTAGATTCACCCTTTTGAAGTCCACTTGTTTTTTATTTCAAATACATGTTAAGTAGTTTGATATTGTGTTCAGGGTCCTGTGTATAATCACCTGAATATAAGAATTGTTTGTTGTTTTTATCTACAAGGGAGCAGGTCACCTTCCATGAAGTCCGCCATGTTGAACCGCCATATTTCTTTGCTTGGGAGCCGGGGGTTGCTGATTCAAGTTCTTCTTCTACAGCAGCCCAGAAAGGACAAACCAAACACTGGCTCTGCCTTTGACGTTTTTCATGAGTTTTGTAGCTACTTTCTCCTACATGCTTGGAAGGCTGTATTTGCAACTTCATCACTAGATGCCACTGAATCCTAAACACCGGTCCTTTAAATATATAGATTGTGCTATATAAATATATTTCCATCTCTGCTTGGCCACACAAGCTTGTAATGACAACAAATGATACGTGGAACTTGGTTAGACATGCTGTACTTTAATGAGATCTCTGTTCTAGTTCACTGGTTAACAACTGAAGGGGTGAAGCATGCAGTTGTGACACTGAGAGAGCTTAGCTGAGTCTTCAGACCCTATTCAAAGGAAATGAATAATGAATTTTAACACAATTGAAAAAATTGAAAAAAAAAGGGGAAAAAAGAACAACCCTAAAATTAAAGTTTTTCTTGTAGCTCAAAGATTCACTTCCTGATTTTTGTCACTGGAACACAACTGGCCTCCAGCTCCTTGAATGTCCTCTGATTTGAAACCAAACTGTAAATTATTTTTAGTTTGAAGACAACTGCAGTGAGCTAGAAAGATATTTTGGGGTTGATTATGAGGCGTTTTTGGGCACTATTTGAAGAACAGTATAGGCCAAAAAGCTTTCCATCAACCAACATTTGTCTGCTCCTCATAATTATATTTATACTGCCTAAAAACACTGAGAGTTTTGTACTGTTAGTAGGAATTAATACTACATTCAGGAAAGCTTTCGATCATCATCACAGTCATCACTGTATTACATAACTCACCAGAAACCAAGGTAGTAAAAACTTTATACTAGATATTATTACAACACAACAGCTAGTTTTTGTTTAAATTTTTTTGCATTTTAATTAGATTTATATTTTCAGTATATTTGATTACATTAAGTTGTTTGTTGTGTCTGTGTGTGTGTTGATGTACTGCATTTAGTAGGCTAATAAGTGTTTTTTTTTTGTTGGGTGACAGAAGGACTTACTGGTTGCTGTAACACATGTTGATGTGCCCCGAGATTTGGATCAAGCAGATTTTCTGCATCGTATCGTATGGGCTCGTGTCGTATGAGGCCGGGCGGGTGGAGAGCCTGCACACTCTGCAGCTCTGTGAAGTTGGCCTCTTGGAGGTTTTCAAACTCTACAGGGTGTACGTGAGGGTGAGGGTGATAGTCCCAGTGATCTAAATAGAGAAGGTGAGAAACAGCATAATGGCCACAGCTTTTGGTTGTTACTAAGACAAGAAAAGGCAGAATTGAACCCCCGTAAGGTTCACTCAAACACACAGCTTGATACAAAAGTCACATACGTGTCTTTAAAATGATTTCATATAGCAGAAAATCTAAGTTTAAATGGTAAGAGATGACTCATGGAAAAAGCCACACTGTCTATGAAAAATCATCTAAAACTATTAAGTCAAACGCAACTGAAGCGGGCTGCTTACTCATATTGCTTGAGTTTGCATGAAGCTGGTGAAATGAGGAGAATAATAGAGAGTTCAGCATGAAGCTCTTTCCTGTTTGTTGCCACACTTGCAGTGTCGCCACAGCCGTTGGCTTTGACTTTTTATTCTTTCTCATGTTGTCCTTGACTATTGTTTTCAGAATGCATTTAAGACTCAAGCAGGAAAGTTAAACAATCCAGCTCTCAAGTGCAAGTTTGACATCTTTTAAGTGTAACCATGGAAATAGAGGAGCGCCAAATAGAAGTATTTCACATGCAAACTATTGCAAAGAACAGTGTATATTCTTAAAAAAGGATAAATGCAACAGGGTAAAAAAAGCCACTTTAACACTGGAACATCATTATTTCTACAGTGTCTTAATTTTTATTTTTAAATGATATAAGATATTTGAATCTTAGGCATTAGATATTTTTATCACGACGACAACTGAAGCTTTCTCAGTGGGCTATAAGGTCAGGAAAAGCATCCCCCCACCTCCCCAATTTAGATTATGTTGGTGCAATATTCAAAACAGTTGATTACAAGAGAAAGTAAAGCACCTTTCTTGTATCAACAAAACCCCATGGGGCGAAAGTTGTTCTATGTCTGTAGTTGAAGCAGCCGAAAGAAAAGGCATCTGTTTCCTGTGTTCCATCAGCCCTAATGTGGTGCGCTCCAGCTGCACAAGCTGCAGGCTTTTTATGTACAATAGCTAGACCAGAAAAGTCAGTGTCACCACATCAGGTCATGGTGATTAATTTAAAGAATAAAATGATAAAGTACTAAAATGGAAGTATTTATTTAGTACTTTTTTAATGAAAACTGAGAGGAGAACAAGATTCATGTCAGTGGTTTTAGTTTAGGTCATTGACATTCAGTCCTCACAATCATCATCATTGATTTAAAAAAAAAATTTAAATGTTTTTTAATTAAATATCAGTCACTGTAATGTAGAATAATATAGAACAGGTGGCAATTTAAATTCGAACACTGTTCACATGAGATTAAAGAAGGATGTTGACGTAAAACTCACCTGCCTGGATATCTGAATCTAGGACATACGGATTATTATAATATTCTGCAATTTGTTGTCTGTAGATCTCAGGATCGTACATTTCTTCTGAGTGCTGCAAGAGCAAATAGAAACAGTTTCAGCCACAAAATACCGTGAGAGGAAAATCTTTTGGATGGTGGATATGGTGCAGACAAACATACATTATATCATTACTCATCTAATTCTTAAAAGGAAATAATAATAATCACAATCTATCTTATAAAATGTTCACATTATCTCTGAGTATGATTAACTTTGTAAATCAGAAGAGGCATTAGTAATGTTTGTGTTATAATAATGCTTTTTTTCTTTCTTCTTACCACTACTGTTCTGAAACTCTCAAGAACTTTTGAGTTTCATTTTCATGTCGCCTGTAGTATAAAAGACTCTTAGAGTTTTTGTCCTGTATTCAAATTGAAGTAGACTCACATTAAGTAATCTATATTAAAATAATACATGTTGTCTATCCTCTTGACAATGAAATGTTTCTCTTTCATGCTGCGATGAAAGCAAACAGAGCTCTTTTTAAGACTCAGATGCTGGAGAGTCTCCTGAGAGTTTAGATAATAATAAAATAAATGATACTTACAGGTGGGATGAGGTAGCTCTCCATTCTGTATGGATGCAACATGGAGACCTCTTCTCCAACGGACCGGCTCTCAGACACTTTGCTGGCAAAACACTCTCACAACCTTTCAAAACTTTTGCGGCACCATTGCACAATGTTTCAAAATTTCCTCTCACTCAACGAAGCCCAAAAAATGTCTCTCTCTCTCTTATTGTATAGCACACTCTTATGAACTTAGCTACTCTCAAAGGCCTTCAACTGTGTCAAATAAAATGAAATAAACAAGGCCCGCTGTTTGACTGTAAAATGAAAAAGGAACTTTTGGCTTCTGTAAAATGTCTGTGGGTGGGAGCAATAGAGTGTGTCTGCTAAAGGTTCCTGGCCATTGATGATTTGTCAGGGGAGACCATGAAACTCCACATTTATCAGGGTCTATATACTGTCCCCTCCTCTTATCAGCCAATCATCATGAAGGGTTTTCCTCACTCTCTGTTTCCCCCACCTCAAAAATGTGATAAACACAGGGTGCAATGGAGTGTTTAATATTTAATATTTAAGGTTTGGAGGATTTTATTCTTTGCCTGGGCTTTGAAGATATTTTTCATTTGAATTATGGCATGCGTTGGTCTCAACAGCAATGGATTCATCTTGTGGCCAAAATGGGTAGCATATAAGCAGCATATGAATGGTTTATTACTCACTGTAATGTAGCTGTGCACAGGAATAAGGAAATATTGAAGTGTTTATGAATGTATTTCTGCAGAGCTGGTGCATAAATATAAAGCATGACATTACAGTAAAACGTGATATATATTATATACATATGTTTTCATTGGAGGAAGTTATAATTGTATTAATAAGCACTGTATGCATACAACTACATTACATTGTGTTATAAATCATTTATGTAATGTTTGTATAAGGCTTATAATGATAAATTGACGAGTTTCCAGTGTGTTAATTTAAAAACTGATGTTGCTTTATAACCAGTAATAATAAGAATCAGAATCAAAGTAAGCTTAATTGACTGTGTATGTTTAAGCATATAATATATATATAATATATAATATTGACTCTTATTTCCAGTAACTTTTAATGTACATCCACATAAATAAAACGCATTATGAAGCATTAAGATGACCCTAAAAGTTCTTATTTTTTAAACATGTTCATTCGAAAGGTACGCTACTGTTTACAGTTCACATGCAAAACAAAGACGGCATTTGCTGTGACAATGTATATTATTTTTAGTTGTCAGTCCTCTTTGTGTGAAGTCAAAGTGTCACCTTATAAACAACCATGTGTCCGGTTCTGCAGACCTGAAACTGATAGACTGAAAGTTTACGCTGTAGCTAAATGACTAAAACATGTTGTTTGGTGATGTAAACAGAGTTTTGTTGAGGAAAAAATTTTGACACACGAGCATGCCCACACCCACCCACACAAACACGCACGCACACATGCATGCATGCACACACA